GCTTTTTTTTTTTTTTTTTTTTTTTTTTGGCATGTGATGAGAAAATATTGCTTTATGGGGATGCACCCTGCTGGCCTTCCTCTTCCCCAAATGGAAATAAAACAACCACGTGACAGTGAGAAAACCTATCAGACCCATTAAAAAAAAAAAAAAAGTAACAAAACCAACAAACACTCCCCCACCCCCCACCCCCCAACCAACACAAACCGTGGGGAAACATAAAAAGAGCAAAAACTGCCAGTGGGGAAAGGCTGGAGCCCGTGAGTGTTTCTCTGCGCCAGCCAGCACCTGCATGTACCAGCTTGCGGCTGGGTTTGGGGAGGTGTGTGGGGAGGGGGGCTACCCCTTGGCCCTTCCTCCTCCCTGGGTGGTAGCACCCCCAGGAAGGAGGGCTGGAGGCTTCACAAGCGAGGAACCAGGGAGCAAAGCGTCCTCAGCTGAAAGCACCTTGGCCTTTGACGGGGCTTGGTGGGGGGACAGGGCACCCCAGTGGGGCACCCGCCATCCCATGGCCCTGCCGGCCCCACTTCGGGTGGGAGGGCAACACCAGGTGCCTGCCGCAGCTCATTCCACGAACACAGGAGGTGGCCCCAGCCCCACATCCCTCCTTTGGGGACCAGGACAAGGTGGGGGCCCAGACCCTGGGCAGGGAATGGGTAGTTTCTTCCTCTCTCTGGGTAAGATATATAATTTCTGCTTTTTTTTTTTAATATTTATATTTATATATATAGATATTTATATATACACACACCTGGTAACTCAGAAAGAGAAAAAAAATAGAATCCGTAACAATAATAATAAAAAAAAGTATTCTGGTTTAAAAACAATCCATTCCTACCACGCTAGGCGAGCGATTGATTGCACAAGGCCCACAAGTGGCTGGCCCAGCCGAGATGGCGCCAGGGCAGGAGGCTGCAGGATTCGGCCCCCGAACCCCCCGTGCCTGGCTGGGGTGGCTGCTGGCAGCAGTCCTCGGCAGGCGGAGGAAGAGCAGCCCCGCTTGGGTGTGTGTCAGCCCCCCAAGTCCCGGGGAGGGGTGGAGAAAGAGAAAAGCAGTGGGGGCCGCTGGCCCGTCTCCCCCCGGTCCGGCTCTCCCTGGAGTCCGCAGAGCGTCCGGCCACAGAATGCCCCTCTGGGGCCAGCGGCTGCCAGCCGGGGAGGTGGTGAGGGGGCGAGCGGCTCTGCCCCTCATACTGAGATCTCATAGGTGGTCCCCCCCACGCCAGAGACCTTCTTGACTCCTCCACGGGTGGGGCTGCTGAGGGGCACCTGCCCCGGGCCTGGGGGGGCTGAGCCCAGGCTCTTGGGCTGCCCATTGGACTTGCTGTAGGCTGTTCTCATCTGCACCTCGTCCCTGGGGAGGGAAGGAAGGACAGACACAGGGTGTGAGGAGGGAGAGGGAGCAGGGCACCAAGGGAGGGCATGGGGTGGGGGGGAAGGACAGGGCTGTGGGGCTGCTGTCACCCCCAGGAGGGGTCCCGCATCCAGCACAGCCACAGCCCTGCCCCTCCCCAGGGACATCCAGCACCCACACACCACTCCAGCTCCCCAAGAGGCCCATGGGGTGTCCCGGGGAGGCGGGGGGGGGGGGCACCAGCTCTGTTCTGGGAGAAGGAGGAGGATCTCTCTCTCACCCTTCTCCAGGCTAGGTGCAGCATCGCTCCCCAGCAAGGGGCGTTTCGCTGCCCCCAGGTGCTGGTGCAGAGGATGGAGTGCTGGAGGGGGCAGCAAACAGGGAAGGGAGGTTCAATGGGCTGCTGGCTCCCTCCAGGGCGAGGGCCCCCCTCTGCACGAGGTGGCCGGTGCTGGTACTTACTTTGGTGCCAGTAAGGGTTGCAAGGCCACCTCCTCCATCTCGGGGACACTGGCCTGAGACGCTGGTTTTTGGCTGCTGTAAGACACGGATTTGCCCAGGTGGGGGGCGGCAGGCTGGTCGGGTGAGCCCAGGGAGCGCACCCGGAGCGCCTGGAGGGGCTCAGGCTTGCCGAAGCGTGGTGGGGCCGGGCGGGTGAGTGGGTTCTTGCCCAGGGGCGAGCGCTTCGAATCGTCCGAGGAAGAGCTGGTGCGGGGGGCGTTGCTGGAGCCCGGCGTTGACTGGATGCCCGAGTCTGCCAGCCCCACGTCCTCCTCCCTGCCCGGGGCCGGCGGCTGCTGCAGCAGCTTCTCCCGCTCCTGAATGGAGGCCACAATGTGGCGGGAGAGATTGTCATAGCGCACGGGCGAGGGCTCACGGGGCGGTGCGTGCTTGGGGGAGACGGCACCGGCAAAGCGGCCATGCAGGTCGGTCTCTCTCTGCTGGGCGATGCGGGCCGAGAGGAAGGGTGAGGTGTAACCCACTGGCGGGTCGGGCTCTGGGCCCGCCTGCACCGACTCGAAGTCAGGGCTGTCGGAGGGCGTGAGCAGGCTGTCGTACGACAGGCTGCCGTTGCGCGTCTGGTTCACCAGGCTCTTGTAGGAGGTGGAGGTGGTGCCTTCCGAGCGGATGGACTGGAGGTGGCCCATCTCAAAGCCTGTGCCCTGGGCCGACTTGAGGCTGGAGGAGCGGGAGCCGCTGGAGAGAGGGTCAAAGTGAAAGCTCTTGCCGAAGGTGGGCGAGCGGAAGCTCTCGGGCTCCAGGCTTGGCTCCGAGCGGTAGCTAGGCTTGCGGCTGCTCTCACAGATGGAGTTGGGCTCCTTCAGGCTGTTCACTCGGCTCAGCTGAGGGGCAGACACACATCAGTCACCCATAGAAAAATGGGGAACCTGCAAAGCTCCCAACACCCACCCCAAACTCTTCCCCCCAGCCAGGAACATGGTGGCATCCCCTCAAGGCTGGGTTCCCCCCTTGCCCGGCCTCAGGAAAGCGGCAGTGGGCACGGCCTTACCTTGGCGCTGGTGGAGTGGGGCAAGGCCGCTGAGCTGCTGCTGCTGCTGTAGCCGGGCCGGTACTTGTACATGGTGGGAGTCGGGGGGCTGTCCTTGCCTAGCAAGCTGCTGTCTGCAGGCAGGGGAAGAGAGAAAGACGCTCAGACACGTGGCAGCTCCCCAGGGCTGCGGAGGGGAAGGAACGCCATGCAGAGCCCTGCCCTCCCTTCCCAAGAACCGGCTCTGAGCCTGGGGCAGACAGACCAGGGAGGCGGAGGTGGAGAGAGCGATGGGCTCAAGGAGAGGCGCACCAGGGGCGGATGAAACGGAGCGGGATGGAAAACGTGTCCCCATGGCAATGTGTTTGGGGCTGGCACTTCCATGCCCCTGCAGTGGCCCCGGCTGGGAGACTTCTTTAGCAGCCCCGGGGTCAGCAGGGTGCATGCTGCATGGAGGGGTCAGTGGGTGCCTGGGCACTCCATGGACCTGCTGGCTGGTCCCCCCACTGATAACACACGCCACAGCCCTCCTCCAGGCAGCAGGGCCGGGCAGTGCTGTGCTCCAGCTGGGGGCACGGGGAGAGCTGCAGAGGCCTCCAGCCTGCTGCGGGAAGCAGCTGCTTCCAAGCTCTGCCCTTCACATCCCACCTCTCTTGCCAAGCCCACGCAGGCAGCTCCGAGCACTGCTTCGCCAGCTCTCAGGGAAACAGGGAAAGCAAGTCACGCAGGCTGCCTCAAACGTGCTCTCTGCTGCCAAACCAGGCCTGCTACTCCTTCACCTCCTTCATCCTGGCGATGCTCCTGCGCCTGCCTGCAGCATGGCAGCCTGCAAGCCTGCCTGTCGCAGGCCACTGCAGCTCACAGGGGCTCTGGGCAAGCACCATGCTGTCTCGGCTCGGCCTCTTGCTCCTCTCCGATGGAGCAGAGCTGGCTGTAAGCATCCCAGGCTTCTCCAAGTGCAAGGGGCCGCATACACCAGCCCGGAAATGTGGGCATGTCCTGCCCCACAATGTGGTGGTACTGATGTGCTTCGGGTCTGCCCTGCAGCCTGTTCCACCTACGGCCCTGGCTCCTGGTCTGCCTGGCACAGCCCTGGGCTCCCCTCCCAGCGGCTGCCTGGGACCCTGCGTGCCTTCCTTACCCTCGTTGGTGGCCAGGGTTAAGTGTGTCCTCAGGCCCGTGTAGCGGCTGAGGTCTGGCTTAGGTGGGGGTGGCGGTTCGGCGTCAGCAGACTGGCTCTCCGTCACCTCCAGGCTTCCTTTGGACTGCAGAGACAAAGCGCAGAGGGAGGATCAGAGGGGTGCCAAGGCCTCAGCCCTCCCCTCGGCAGGCAGGGAACAGGCAGTGGCATTAATGGGGCTCTCGCTGCCTCCTGGGCCATCCAACGTACTGAGCGCTTGAAGGCGGTGCATGCTGGGAAGTGCTGAGGAGGGGGGGGGACCTCCAAAGGATGCTGAGAGGGGGAAGGACAGGATGGGGAAGGGCAATGGAGGGTGCAAAGCCTCATGTGGTCACTGCCGCATGGGAGGGACATGGTTTCCGTCCCATGGGGACACAGAACAAGACGACACGGGGGGGATGGGGAACGTGACAAGGCTCACTCGGTTCTTTACTCACGGATGCAGGCTTGCACCCCTGGGCTCCATGGAGGGCCCCAACGCAGGGAGCGCTAATCCCCACCTTCCTCACCTTCGTCCTCTTCAGCTCTGTCTGGATACCGTTGTCCATGATCTTGACAGTGACCTGACCATCCGACACCTCGGGCCGCAAGAAGGGGGGTCTCACCAGCACTGTCTGCTCAGCCTTTGGGCGCCCAAGGTACCTACGGAGAGGGGCGGGAGGAAGGTCAAGGCCTGGCATTTGGGATGGGGCAGTTTGCCCAGGTATTGCAGGGCTGAGGGGGCACCATGCTGTGCCAGGCTCACCTGGGGGCCGGGGAGCTGCAGAGGACCCGGCTGACGTTTTTACAGCAACCATTGGTGAAGGGGTTGACACCACCGCGGAACTTGCCCGTCACCTGTGGGATGAGGAGCATCATAGCAGTGTACTGGGGTGGGCAGGGACCTCAGGGGGTCTCTGGTCCAGCCAGCTGGGTCAGGTTGCTCTGGGTTTGTCTAGCTCACTCATGACAATCTCCAAGGTTGGAGATACTTGGAGATACTCCCCCTTTTCCAGGTCCCTGTCTCAGCATCCAACTACCCTCAACAGGGAAAAGTCTTTCCCCAGCATCTAACTGTAAGTTACCTTATTTCAAGTTGTGCCTGTCGCCTCTTGCCCTCCTGAGAAGAGCCTGCCCAGCTCCATCCTCTCTACAGCCACCCCTAACAGCAGCAGTAAAGACCCCCCATTTCCAGGCTGCACAGACGAGGTGTGCTCAGCCTCCCCTCACAGACATCTTGTGTTCTAGGCCCTGACCAGCTCAGTGGCCTTCCCTGGCCTCGATCCAGCCTGTCCATGTCTGTCTGGTCCCGGGGAGCCCCAAAACATATCCAGATGTGGCCTGGCAGGGGCCAGCAGCCCCACATCAGCCCTGCAGGCATACCTGTTCGTTGGTAGTACGGCCCCTTGCCACAAGCACCACATGGAACCCCGTAAGGCCAGCGACGGGAATGAAGAATAAGCCGGCCACACACATCACCACCATGCTATCAGCAGCCAGCTAAGGAAAAGCCACAGCCCTGCTCCACAGCACACTGTCCCCAGCCCCACCAACACCCTCCCTCTTCAGCCCCGCTCCTGCAGCCTCACAGAGGATACGTGACCGCCATGCGGACGCCGGAGAGCTCCTCCACCTGGTAGAGGACATACAGAAGGCCGAAGCCAAACACTCCCATGATGTGCGTGGTGAGCGACAGCAAGAAGAGGAAGAAGTAACGGTAATTGCGCCGCCCGATGCAGTTGTTGACCCAGGGGCAGTGATGGTCAAACTCCTGTCGGTAGGGAGAAGACACGGTGAGGGACTTGGCTGCCAGGCCTTCCTGCCTGCTCTGTGTATTAAACTCTATGTGGAAATGAAGAGGCATCAAGACCCAGCAGTTCCTCACCTCCACACAGTTGTCACAGACGCTGCAGTGGGAGCAGCGTGGCGGCCGGTAGAAGCGGCAGGTCGCACACCATTTCATGCGCACCTGAATGCCCTTGATCTCCACTGTCTTGTAAAGCGGAGCTCGGAAGTCGTCCTCCTTGTCCTCGTCCTCCTCAGCTGATGGGGAAACCCCAGCACAGCCATGTGTCAGAGCGTGGGGGAAGGCGACACCAGGGCCCAGCCAGCCTCCTGCCCTCCTGAGCTGGAGATGCCTAACATCGCCCTCCTCCATCACCAGGCCCATCTCACCTGGCACAGGGACCGGGCAAGGACCCCCAAATACAGGTAGAGGATGGGGGGCACTCCTAGGCCCTGCCCCAAAACCACAACACCCACCTGAGCCCCAGGTACCTGATACGGGGTGCCAGGATTTACACTGCTTCCACCACCTGGTCCTACAGGCTGGGTGTTGAACCCAGAGCTACTGTCCCTGTGGTGTGTGTCACCACCTGATCCCACCCAGGCAGGGCAAGGAGGGCTTTCCTCAAGCCTTCTGGGATCAGGTAATTCTCTTTACCTCAGAGGAAGGGCAGAAGGAGGTAGCTCTATCCGAGACACTTCCCCAAGCAGAGCCAGACTCACCTCGCGGGAATATGCCTGGGTCCATGAAGGTGGCCATACTGAAGTTGGCCAGCACGAAGAGGAAGACAACAGCATTGTAGACAGGAATGACTGGGGAGACGTACAGACTGAGCCCTGGGCACCTGCAGGCACAAAAGCAGTGAGACACCCAGGCCCTGTCCCATGGGTCACTCCTCTGGTGCTTCCCACTGCCCCTTGCACTGCCCCCCGCAACCCACACAGCCCCAGGCAGGCATCGCTGAGCTCCAACGGTGCCCTCAGAGCAAGCAAGGGCTGCATGGGCGCTAACCACCCCTTCTGAGCCCCACAGCTGTCCCTGTAAGCCATTCCTGCCATGCTCGGTGGTGGCCTGGCTGGGAAGTCCACGTTCCCTGCTCTGGGGCTGTATTTCCAGGCTCCTGCCCAGGCAGGCAGCTGGGGAGGTTCCCTGCCATCAACTCTTCCTTTTGCTCCCACCCAGGGCCCTCCACACCTAAACTGGAGCTGCACCCAGGCCAGCTTGACCGAGGGTGTGTTCGGGCACCCTCTACAGACCAGCCTAACCCCCAGCCCTGGGGGAGCACCCGCGGGGGGCTGGTGTGGGAATCACTCCGGTAAATCATAAGAGAGCAAAAAACACCCCTCTTGCGCCCACAGCCCCACAGGTACTGCCAGCGCAGGACCCTGCTGCCACTGGGAGCGACCGCAGGCGGTGGTGAGAATGGGGTGAGCCAGGCCGATGGCACAAGGGATGCCTGGGAGGGATCTGGCCACTAGGAACCTGAACGTCGTCCTCCATGCATTACACCAGTGAGCATGGTGGGCAGAGGGGACCCTGCAATGGGATGCAAAATGAGCAGCAGCTCCAGTGCCTCCAGAGCTGCTCCTGCTCCTCACATCCTGGAGTTGGAGCCCAGCCTGGAGACAACTCCGGTGGCACATGGGGACCCCATCGCTGTGCCAGCCTGCCCCAGCCAGCACCCAGCTCCTCTGTGGGCCTGGCCGAGGGGCCCCGTGTCAGCACAGCAAGGGAATCACCACCGTTCCCCTCTGCCTCGGGCGGGCTGGGCTCAGGACAGCGGGCTTCCCCCTCAGAGGCGCCAGTGTAATACCCTAATCTGCTTTGCTGCTGGGAGTTTAATCCTGCAGATCTAGGACAGCATCTGTCCCTCTCTTCCCCCCGCAGCGATAAGTGCAGATGGATTTAGGCAGCAGGCGCAGAGAGGGGCAGAGCGCAGGGCTCGACGGGCAGAGTGACATATGGTGCCCACGCTGTAATCCCCCGCAGCCCCTGAGCAGGTAGAGGTGAAGGGGCAGGCGCTGGTCCGTCCCCTCCTCCGCCACCACCCACTGTGACTCAGCCGGGCGACAGGTCCCATCGCCAGCGAGGCAGCCCCTGTCCTTGTCATGGCAGCCCTGGGAGCCCCAGTGAGGCTCCAGCTGGGAATGAGCCCTTGGTCCAGGGCTCTGCCTCTAGTTCAGCCCAGTCCAGGGCACCCTCCCACACAGGGCAGTGTGTGAGGGGATAGGGGATGGTGCCAGGCAGAGGGCTGCCTCCAGGCAAGTGGCAGCCAGGAGATAAGACGGGTCCGGGCTGGAGGAGCAGGCACACCTGCCTTGGCACCCACCTGGCAGCGGAGGAGGGAGAGGCGGGCAGGGCGTACCCAGGCACAGCTCCAGCCCTGGCCCTTCCCAGCACCCAGAGAGGGTGGGAAGCGGCAGTGGGACCTGTCCTCCGCTGGCCAAGGGCAAGGCAGTCCCCATCCAGGCACAGCGATTAGGGCAAGAAGAGAGCGGGAGGGCAAACCCCCTTGAATTTACAAGACATCTGGCTAGCAGGAGCGCACCGGGAGCCAAGCCTTGCTCTGCCAGCCAGCACACTCTTCCTCCTCCTCTCCTGAAGTGGGGCCTGGCACCTTCACCCTCAGCAGCACCTCCAGACCCCGGCCCTGCACACCAGACCAGAGCTGCACCTGCAAGCTGTCTTCTCCAAAACTTCTTCCACACCCCCACCCCGTTCCTCCACGCTGCTCAGGAGCCCCCGAGCACCTCGCTGGGGTGGGAGCCTCGCCCTCCTGGGCACCTTGGGTGATGCCTCCCCACCTCCACATATCTGGGACAGCATCTCCCAGCATTTCACCAAGAGCTCTCCTCCAGGGTGGGGAGCAGCTCCTTTACAACCCGCATGGCACTGGCCATGCCGGCTCTGCCTCCCGAGAGTGCCGGCCCTGCTGTCTCCTTTGGAAGCCGGCCAGGCAGATTCTCTGCAGAGCGGGCGGCACCAGCGCAGCTGGGACGGACGGGCTGGCAAGGAGGAGCCCTCTCCAATCTGTGTCCCAAAACCCTCGGAGAGCAACTCCAGAGAGGTACAGGATGTACACGACATCGCGAGGCCAAGACCTGAGCAAGGGAAGAACACTAGCCACGTCGAGCCCAGATAGCCCAGTATGACCGGCATCGCTGGGAGCTGCCACGGGACTGGAAGCCACGCCAGGAGCAAGGAGCTCACACCTAGCTCAGCTTCCCCTTCCCCTCTGACGGGCAGGCTGTGCCCAGGGAGAGGGCTCATCCCACCCACCCCCAGCACCGAGCTGCTGCCAGGGCTGCCCCCGGCCACCCACCAAACAGCACCGGCAAGAAATGCTCAAGTGGTTTAAGTGGTTTGCAGAAAATGAAGGCGAGAAAGCCTCCCAGTCTCGCAGAAGGGAAACTGGTATTTGCTGCGGGGCAGGCTGGCAAGGCAGGGAGCCAGCACGGAGCTGACAGCCCCCCGGTACTCACCCAGCAGCTGAAGGAGAGCTGGGCAAGGGGCAAACAGCCCATTCCCCACAGCTTCCAGGGCCAGGGGCCTTGCTGGCGGTGCAGTTTCAAGGAGCTAAGTGGCTTCATTAGCCCCCAACTCTCTTCATCACCACTGCTGTCCTGGTCTTTGAGGTACCCGACAGGGCTGCTCTCTGCCCTTGTAAGGCAGCAGTCCCTTTGGAGGGGTGTTTCTCTCCTCTCCTGGCCTGGGCACCAGACACAGTGCCAAGGGGAAGGTGGCCACTTGCGATGTCACTTCGCCTCAAGGGCGGGCAGACCCAAGCACCCCAAATCACTGAGCTGAGCCCCCCAACTCCAGAAGAGCCTCCCCAGCTCTGCTCTCTGCTGAGCTGCAGAGCTAAGAGCAGCAGAGGAGAGACTGCTGGAGTAAGAGGGGCAGGGGGGCTCAGATGATCCTTAAAGGTAGGAAAAGCCCTTCCAGAAACCCTGAGCAAGGAGCTCATCTCTCTAGGAAGGGAAATCCCAGCCCAAATCTTTGCTTGAAAGGGATGGAGGGGAGCCAGGGAGACCCACTGCACACCAGCCATCCCTGCACAAGGGAAATGCCAACAGCAAGGCTGAGCCAAACATGCAGCCCAGATCCTCGAAAGACAGACCCTGGCAAGGCAGAGGAAGGACTGAGCTGCCTCAGCAAGGGCTGGCACAGAGGAAAAGCTCTGGGGCAGGCAGAGATGGAAGGACTGGCCTTCCAGGGGGAAGGGAATACCTCTCCCATCAGCTCCTGCGCTGTCTGGGCACTGAGCCCTTCCCAGGAGGGAGAAGCATGGCTCCCAGGGGACAGGACAGCAGGTCCCCAGGTATGAGAAAGACCAACCCTTTAGCTAAGGGAGCACCAGCAGACTCCAGACACCATGGCACTGAGGAGGATGCAGCCACAGGTTTAGAAGGGCGATCAATGCCAATGGATCAAATGGAGGAGACCTGCCTGGGGACATCGATCCCTCCCATCTCTCCAGCTCTGCTCTGGGGGCTGCATGTTCCGCTGCAGATGGAGTGGAGGGCTCGCTGCAGCATGTCTTCCAAACCCAGCCTCCAGTCTCCATTTTCAGTGGCCGTGAGCCCTAAGGCAGGACCCTGATTACTGTGAGAGCCAACCTGCCAGCCAGATGCTGCAGGTGGATGAAAGATTGATCTTCAGCCTTCAGAAAAGAGAATCAATCGGAGAAGCTGGTGTGGTGCCTCAGGGCCAGCTTACAACCCCTGTCCTTATCAGGTCTTGCCAGCTGCGTGCAACTGGGCAGGCAAGCTGCCAGGGGCTGCTCTGCACAGAGTGAACTTTACATGTTGAACAACCAGCCAGGGATGCAAAGCCACCCTGGGGTGGGACTTCACAGGCCAGGAGCAAGCAGAAGACCCTCCCCAGGGACCACAAGGATCCGCAGCTTACGAGGATAGCCTCAGGTTGAGCACTCCCGGGTTGCAAGCGCAATGCTATGGGTCTCCTCCCCAGCGCTCCCAAGCGTGGCAGCCTACTGCCTGCCACCCTCCCAGCTCTCTCCACACCCACGGACGCCACCACACCATGGGGGGGAAGCAGGAATCCTCACAATACACAGACCATACGTTACTCGAGCCAAACTACCCACTGGCATCCATGCTCGTGGGCCCCAACACAGGGGAGTCACCTCCCTGAGATCAACCCCACCCCATGGGAGGGAACACGGTCCTCTGCAGTGCAGGGAGCAAGGGTGGCTGCCAATCCCCAAGGGGAAACCTTGTTATCAGAAGCACTGACATGTTCCTGCCTTTTGCTCTCCCAGACAGAGAACACGGGGCTGCAGACCTTGCCTTGACACCAGGAGCAGCCGGAGGGTGTGGGCTCCAGCTCCGCAGAGGAGGAGGAGGGAGGTGCTCACCACTGTGGCCACACGGGTCCCAAGGAACTCGTCAAGTTCCCTCTCCACATTGGGATGCGAAGCACACCCATCGCTAGAAGAGCTGTCGAGACTTGTCTCTGGCAGCACATAAGAGAAATCGGGGAACCTCAGGCAAACTGAGTCACATCTGGATCCGAGACGGGCTTTTTGCCACTAGTCATACCAGGAGAAGCCTGTCACTCCCCAGCCTGGCTTCTCCTCCCCTCTGCAGGCTCAAAGCCACCCTGCGGCCCCTTGTCCCCTGCCCTCTCCTGGAAGAAAGCCCTCCCTGAGGACACCTTCCCCACCCTGCCTGTACCCCTGGACTCTGACCCGCCACCAAGTGAGGAGGGGCCGGCGCTGTGCCAGGGCTAGGCTCACCTCGCCGACCTGCCGCAGGAGGGCTGGACTCGTGGCCTCTCTCTCCAGCTCTCTCGATGGCCTTGCTGCAAACACAACCCCTGCTCGCCGCGACCGTCACACAAGTTTGGGTCCAACTAGGAGTGTGCATGCCACCCTGTACCAGAGGCACCGCCGGCTCCAGGGACTGCCGCATCCTACCCCGGCATCCCCATCCTCACGCCTCTCCTTCCTCTCTCCTCCACTAACGCTGGAAGAGGCAAGAGCTCCTTTCCCAAACAGGCACAGTTCCCTTGCAGACTTCCCAGCTGCAAGGATGGGAGGAAAAGTCGGGGTCAGAGGTTTTGCGGACAGATTCACCTAATTGCAAGAAACACTTCATACTCTGCAGGCTTTTATACAGCCCCAAAAGCCACGCTGAGCCATGGCCATGAGCAAGAGTTGAGGCGAATGGAAGGAAGAGGCCAACTGATGGCACGCTATCCAGAGAGCCCCTGCTAAGGGCAGCTCAGAGGTGCTCCCTGCCTCCGACGGGGAAGGAGAGGCTGAGCACCAACTGCACAAGGAGCAGGGACCAGTATAGGCCAGGGGGGAGATGCAGAAATGGACAAACTGACCCCAAGGGGGAATTTCGGTCCTAAAGCAGCACCTCTTTGAGACCCCAGCAAGTCAGAGACCCCCACTCCTTCCAGAGGGAGGACAGGAACATCCCCTCTTCCTGCTGCCCACTCCCTCCAGCACAATCAGCCTCAGCTCATTTCAACTGCCACATGTTCTGCAGCATCTCCTCATGAAATTAATCAATTAAATAGAGTTCTTGGCCCAGAGATACAAATCCTGAGCCAGTGTGGATGGACCAAAAGGTGTCTGGTGGATACATTAGAAATAACACAATCAGAGCCTTTCAAGAGAGCTGTGCTGAGCCCTGGCTGTTCTCTGCCTGGGAGGAGGCCCCACGGGAGGTGTCCCAGAGCCCCCCCACCTCACAACTTCCATTGCACCTCCCAAAGTACCAGCTTCAGGTCCGATGCTGACAGCGTAACCCTCCCGAGCAGGTCTGTGGCAAACACGCCAGAGATGGCAAGTGCTGCAGAGGGGGACCCTGCTGCCGTGTCAGGCGGTGGCCAGCATTGAGCGTGGCCAGGCAGCAGGCTTACAGCCGTGTTGCCTGTCTTTCACCAGGTGCAGAAGGGGGGCAAAGTGATCCACAGGAAGCAATCCTACAGCAGTAATCACGCAGGAAGCAAACCTCGCTGTGGGTCTGTATGTCCCTTCCACCCCATCCCAGCAGCCAGATGGAAACTGCCCGAAGAGAACTGTAATGCCAGGGAGTAACGCCATTCCCTCCCCACCAAATAACCCGTGTGAAAGTGCACTGTGCTTTGCCGCTCTGCTTGAGATTTAATTTGATGTTTTAAAGTAGGTTAAATAACATCCACTGACCTACAATTAAAGCGACCCTGCCCAGGTGTTCCTGAACAAACCTGCTCCACGGCACCGGCGCCTGCTCCCAGCAATGCCTCGCACCATGCCACTCGCTGATAAGCGGCTGCTACCAGCTGCTGCAATAGCTCACAGCCAGGTACTGCGGGCTTGGCTGCAGCAGCAGGGACTGGGTTTGGGGGGTAGGGCTGCCCTGCTATTCCCCCCCAAAGTGCAGCATGCAGCCCCCCATGACAAAGCAGAGGCACGCCTGTCCCCCCAAATCATGGTGTGTCATGCCCAGCTGCTCAGAGGACATCGCCCACTCCCTCCTCTTCTCCTTCATCCCCCTGAAGCAGTAGCACAGGGTCAGCAACATGCTGCAAGTGTTTGACAGCCTGAAGCAGCAAAACTTCGAGCCTCAGCGCTGTCAGCAAGGCTGGCCTGACAAACATTGTGTCTCGGTGGGGGGACTGCTGCTCGCTGCTGAGCGACACCACCAGCTGCCTCCCATCGCTGGAAGGAGTGAATCAAACTGGCTCTGTCCTTTAGTCGTCAAATTACTCTTTTATTGCCTGGTTGTTGCCAGGCGTTAAAGCCGCGGTGACCTTCCAGCCACCGATGGCTCCATCCCAGGGAGCGGCAGCAGCCCTCACGTCTGGCCCTTCTGCCTCCAACGAGGAGCTGCCTCCCGCAGCTCTGGCTAATCCCCGCGACCCCGCTGGCCCAGCGCCAGCAGTAAAGCCCCTCAGCGGGGAAAGCTCTCACCAGGGCACAATGAAAGGTGCCCTGCAAGAGCAAGCCACCCCAGGGAGCGGGAGAGGCTCCCTGGGAGCAGGGGGTGCACCGCCCTCTCTGCCCAGGCAGGACCCTGCCAGGGGCAGCTGGCAGCGAAGAGGAACAGTCAATTATGCAGGGAGGAAAAAGGGAACTGGGCTCATCTCCTGCCTCCCTGGAGAGAGCTGGAAGGACAGAGCACACCGCTGAGGCTGCGGGCCGCCCACCTTCAGACCAGCAGGTGCTCTGCCCCTCTGCTGTGCTGGGGCAGGAGGAGGAGTAACTGGTGGGCAGGAAGAGGAAAGGAGGGATGCTCAAGAGGCAAAGCAGAGCTGAGGGCAGCCGGCTGGCTGGAGGGAGCCGCTGAACAGACACCCTGCCTGAAGGGATGCAGGCAGCAGTCACCCACTGCCTTCCTCTCCCCTGCCTGGGACAGTGGCTGCCTGCACCCCCCAGGCCAGCAGCTGGCACATCTCCGGATTGCCAGAACAATCCCAAACCCTTTGCACGGAGACACCATCAAGGACTCCAAGGTATGAGCACAAACACCTGTCTTATCTACAGATCTCTCTGCTGTCCCCCCAGAACACATCCCCTCTCAGACCCCAATCCCAGGAACACACTGCAGGATTTGGCAGCCAGTCCCGGTTGCCGTGCTCCAGCATTCCTGCCCAGCACACGCTGCCTTGACACAGGCAGCTCCCTGCCAGGGGCTCAGCGCCGGCACAGCAGCTCAGCAGCTGCCTCAGCACCTGCCACTGACCCAGAACTGGCTCAGATCGGCCCTGAGCGAGTGTTAATAAGCTGTTTGTCACCCAGGAAGGGAAAACGTTAACGTGAGCAGCAGCCCTACCCCTCTCCCAGCCCAGGGAGATCCCTCTGGTACGGTCTGGCACTCTCCAGCAACTGGTACCATTTTACACCCTGGCTTTTCCCCACTGGCTCCAAGGCCAACACAGGCGTCTGCCTCAGGCCCCAGTGACCTGCTGGCAGGCCACCTCCTTCAGGTCGTCTCCAGAGATACCAAACCCTTGTTTCCTCAGGGCAAGGCTGACATCAACAGCAGCGAGAGATCCATGCAGTGGTCAGAGTACTTCTCCTTGAACTTTCCTTTGTGGCTCACAAATCAGTTACAAAACTCTAAAAATAACATGGAGCCTGCCCCAGTCCACAAAACCACTTCACGTAGCTCCAAAGGAGAAAATTAGCTCTGCCATTTTCCACCTACAGGTCACAAACTAATTCCCAGCCTGGCTGACCTGTGAGAGAGTTGCCAGTGAGACAAGCGAGTTGTGCAAAGACCCGAAGACAAGAGAGGAGTGGCTGCCAGGAACTGGAGCCGAGCAGTGGCAAGGGGCCCCGCTTCCTCTCGCTCACCTCAGAGGAAAACTGAGTGAAATGGGTCTGGCTGAGGCTGAACTGCTCCGATGGACTGTAGTGCTGCTCCATCGTCCATCCTTTAGCACCCGGAGCACTATATCCCCCCTTTAGTCTGGCAAGAAGTCACAGCTCCTCTCCCAGATAACCCCCGTGCAGTCTCTGCCCCCCCAACCTCACGGCACCGCACAGAGTGGGCTGGGTCCCCAGGTCTCCCTTCGCCCTCCCCACTCTTTGGTTGAGTAGCTGGGACTCACGTGAAGGCAAAGAAGAGGGTGGTGGCTCCCACTAGGAAGATGGCAGCAGCTGAGACCGGGACGTATTTGCTGGGTTTGAATCTCTTTCCAGATGCTGCTGGCATGTTGGAGCTGTGGTGGGGGATCCGCCCCGCAGCATAGCCCAGGCCCAGCGGGAGTCAGAGCAAGACGAGAAGGGGAGGGGAGAGGGACGGGGGCAAACCGCTACCCAGTCTCTGCGCTTGCTCCCAGGGCGAGCTCTGACCGGAGTGGACAGTCCGGAGAAGTCCACGGCGGTCTCTGGAGTGCGAGGCCCGGGAGAGGAGTCCCTGCTATGCTCTGCCCTGCAAGAGTTTGTGGGCACAGGGAAGGAGGTTTAAAAACATTAAAAATTCAGAACCGAGAACTGGATTTGGATTTGAACAGCCGCTAGGGCAGGAATGCCGAGAGCCCTTGCAAGCTTCCCTCTGTCGGGCAACAGCCTGCAGAAAGGAGGTCCCCACACGGCTGACACTGGCAACCAGGATCCAAGGGAAAGGGAAGCCTTCCAGGCTCAGGCAAGGGGATGAGCACGATGTGCAAGGTGAGGAGCTGAGCGCACCTTCCCACTCAGCAAGCACCCTGGGAAAGAGCAAGATATTGGTAAACTTCTTGCAAAAAAGCCACTCCTGGAGTCTTGAGGAAGCCACTTCTCCTTTTTAGCCTGCCCTCTGATATGCTGCAGCCCCCTCCGGTTGCTTCACGGGAGGAGGGGGTTGTCTTGCAAGCAATCTGCCCAGCTTCCTCACAGCACTGCTGTGCCACTGCCCCTGCCACTGCCTCCTCCCTCTCGCTGAAGGGGGTCACAGAAACACTCTCCCTGATTTCACCAGGATCCGGGACTGGCTGGCTGGTGGTGGCCGTTTAATTTTATTTATTTCTCTCTTGACTGTTAAAGCCGAAGAACAGCTGGCGCAAGGTTGAGCTGTAAATCCTTTCTTTGCAAGGGGGGTGGGAGGGGAAGGTTCCGCAGATTGTGTGTTTTTGTCCTCTTCCTACTTGTTCCTTTCTCCTGAGCCCCCAGGCCTTTCCACGGGCTTAGTATGCACTCGGTGGTTGGGAATTGACAGGAATTTCATTAAATCTTTTCTGTGGCAACCATTTCCAAGTAGCACAGGGTAGGGTAATGGAGAGATCTGGAGGGAAGCTTTCAGGGAGCGCTTTTACAACCCCAGAAGACAACTGATGGTGAAAACGGTGCTGAATAGGTCTGTCTCAGCCATGGCCCAAGCTGTGCGGGGGAAGATCTCAGTTTGTTCCAAACTGTTCCATTTTTTTCCTCCCCTTCCTTCACTAAAATTCTTCTTCATTAATCCTTTCGTCTTTTAAAAAAAATACGTAAAATCATTAAAACTTGGCACCTGGTACGCCACACCACACCTAGAAAAAAAAATTTAAAAAATTAACAAGGCAAGAGAAGAGACACAATCACGTAAAAACACTCACTTGAAGTAACACCGAGCTTCCCAGGACAGGGAGCAGGCATTTAGTGGAAGATGGAAACAGTGCCTGATAGATTTAAAATCCTGTTGGCAAGTCCCGATCGGCAAGTTAGATGCCGATCTCCAAGCCCAGCTCTGACACAGATTGACGCTGTAGTCCCAGGTCTATCACCTAACATCAGCGTCCCTTTCCACATCTGCAAAACTGCAGTCTGTGATTAGCCAAGGGAGCCCAGCCACAGCCTCCTATCTCCCTTCCCACCCCAAGGCCCTGGGGCATTTGCTGCAGAGAAAGCCAAGTCACCTAACCCATCTAAAAACACCTGAGAAATCCAAGCTGAGCCCTGAATAAGATGAGGGACCCTACAACCTCTTGCCCAACACCCTTCTGCAGTTATAGCTCGAGTCCGAATGCTAGAGAATGCCTGCTCCCCTGAGGTGAGGGGCCTGATCAGAGGCTTGGAGACTTAATATGAGGGTGGAGCCTGCAGGAGGAAAAGACAACCGGGAATCTTGTCCCCTTCCCCCGGAGGGTAGGAGATGGGAGAGGCCTGTGGAAAACACTAGTGCCTCGACTGGAGGAAGTACTCGTAGCTCTGGACGAAGGAGAGCTGGGTTCTCACTAGGTAGCCCCGATTGTTTTAGGGTGCCCTTGGGAACATGCCACCCTTGGCTGATCATGAGGATGCAGGAGGGCACGCCACAGAAAATACGGAAAACCAAACCTTTCTGGAAATGGAAGCAGGAGGCACCAACCTGTCCCAAACTCCAAACACCCAAGAGCCCATCGCAGCTCAGGGATGAGCTAGACACTGATTATATTGCACCGATTATTACTGTCACAGCAACCGCTCCTCGATTTGTCACCCGTTCTCCACTTTGCTGCCTCCTTGTTTTGTCGCGAGGCCTCCCTTGCACTGCAGGTCCAAGTACAGAGCCCTAATGACTTGTTTGCTTTCTCTTTCCAGTTTTCTCCTCTTCTGCCTCTCAAAGTTTTTTTTCTTCAGGGTGGACAGGAAAATATCTAGTGCTGACTAAACACTTGTGAAGGTTGAGAGAACTGCAGCACAAAATTAAAGGCACATTTAATGACAAGAATGTATTACAATTAAATCGGTTCAGTCACAAAACAAGGCGTCAGTCACTTCAGCTGACTAATGAAGAAACTGCTCCCACTGCAGAGCAGCTCTTCCTTTGCAGAAACGAAGCTCAACCTTCTCAAACCAAGTTTTTTTGCCCTTGCGACCAAGAGGAAATGCTGGACTGATGCTTGTGAGCCGGCTGGGGAAAGCTCCGGTTTCACCTGGTAGCAGGTCTCGACCACCGCGAGTTTTAAGAGTAACAACAGAGAAAACGGTTGTTTTCCCCAGCAGGCGCAGAGCTGCCTGGAGAGCAGCAACTCCCCAGCCTCACTCTACCCCCCCACCAAATACAATACCGAGCTTTGAGCACAAGCCCCAACACACAGGATTTGGGGAAAAGCCTGACACCCCACAAAGATGAGCCCTGCTGTGCCATCACCCAAGGAGGGAAGTGCTTGTCATCTGAGCTAGCTGCTGCAATACAGGCAGACAGCAGTTCTAGGGATAGCTTATTCGGAAGTTTAAAGATGACATCACTGCTAATTACTTTAGCAGAAGCAATCTGCTAACATGCTCCTCTGCTGTAATAGAACACTCCAGCCCTTTGAAAGGCTCCGCCATGAAAACAAAGCCACACCTCAAACTCAAACAGATACTGCCAAATGAAGGAGTTTTTTTCCTGTGATGTTCCTCCTCTAGAGATCATCTTCACCCCTGTCCTCGCACAGCACAATCAGTGTCCTCCTCAATCAGGGCGAGGTCCTTCCCTCAAAGGTTGGAGTCCAAGCAACTGCCCCGAGTAGGTCCTGCTCAGTTCCACCTCAGCTGTTCCACTTGAAGACGGGAGCACGAATTTAAGTGCTCCAACCCTTCACGTGGGGTGATGTGGCACACTGTGCCTTTGCAAAGGTCTGCGTGCCACCTCAGCGCAGTACGGAAATGAACATCAGGCAGCGCAGGAGCGAGCTCCTCATCAAATAAAGAACGTACGAGTCGAGATAATTGCTCATGGGACAGTCTACCTGAACAAGCACTATGCGTGGGGGAGAAATCCCAAGTGCTGTGATTAGTGACACCCAAGCGAGATGCAATGCAAATATAATCCCCAGCTCCTTGCCGCCTTTGCCCAAGAATAACTCCACAATTCATCAAACCTGTGAAAGGCTGCTGAGCCCATCCTGCCTGAATCCCAGAGCCACCACGCAGCTCAGAGACTCCCTCCTCAAGCCCCATGGCATGCTGAGCCCCTCCAGAGCCCGTTGGCCCCAGCCCTGCTGCAGAGGCCACCTTCACAGAAAGGCCCAGGCAGACCGGTGCTGTGGAAGCACAGCCTGCTGCCCGCCGAGCACCTGAGCTGAGAGAGGGAAGCCAAGGCCAGGATGCCTGCATGTCCTGACCACAAGGGAACCAGTCCCATCCTCCCACGGTTGGGAACATCCAGGTTGCTGAAGCCATTGAGGGTGCAGCATGGCACGGTGTGCCAGGATCTCTGCTGTGCGAACTTCAAGGTATCTTTTTCTCTTTTCTTTGGGCTAAACTACGCGGCTTACCTCACCCTGACTATCCATGTTGTTTACCCTGGCATCCAGGAGAAACAAGCAAAATCCACCCAGACTTCCTACAGATTATGGTGATTCAGGCCACGTTCACACCAATTCTCCCAAATATCACACCGATTCTTCCCTAGCCTTCCCCTTCTGCAGCCCTGCAACCTGTCTACCTCCAGTCTATCAACCCCTCCTTTCCCTCTACCTTCTTTCCAAACCCTTTGTCTCTCTGGCCACTTTGTCCCCATCCACAAAGGCCGCTCACAGACTTCCCTGCTTGAAAGAGTCCCCAGCTCGTCTCACTTACCTGAGGCACATACGGGCTCCACTCCTGCCTCCAATTCCTTTCCCTCTGCCACTTCCAGCCCAGCAACTCCTCCTTTCCAGCTTCTCTGGACCTGCCCTCAACTCAGCCCTACTCCTTCCTCCCCCAGTCAAACTCTACTGAGCGTGTGTGTCACCGGCATCTCCCCTTCCCCTCTCCCTTGGGAATTCCACCCATTTTTCCAATCCTAGCACCCCCTTTTCAGAGTATTTTCCCAGCTCTGCTCTCCTCAGCCACCTCCAGAGCACACTTCCCCAGTCTTAAGCGTTTCCCTCCACTCACACGAGAGGCTGCTTCTATGTTCCCTCATCTCCATTTCTGGGGACTTCCTTTAATTTTCAATTCCTCCCCTCAGGACATTTGCAAGTGCGACTGTTGCCACCTTCCATTTCTTTCAGCCTAAGTCTCCTTTTCTTTGGTTAAGGCCCTGTAAAGTCTCACTCGAATTTCCTCTTCTTCCAGCACTTGCTTCTTGAAGCCCTGTCCTCCTCCTTTCCTTCCTACCATGCTTTCCACCCTGCCTTACACAGTCTGCTACAAGCCCTCTTCTCACTGCCTTCTCTAGCAATCTACCCGGACACAGCCTGAAGAGCTGGGTGCTTTGTGGCTCAATCTTTCTGAAGCATCAGGCAGGACATGAAAACACGCTTCACCAGGCTCTCCCCACCTTTGCTGGGTTGGGAAAAACATGTGTAACCAAGCTCACAGCTTGGTTATTTCAATCGCTTCCTTATTTCAATCACTGTCGATAACCACTGCAACTCCTCAACCCCTGGAAGGAGGAAACACACACATCAACATTACAAGTTGCCCTTAAACATGCTGCCTTTCACCACCGCCCAGGGACAGGAGCATAATGGCACAGGGAGGAGAGAGTTCACTCTCAGTTAGTGGTTCCTAAACATGCGTCACTTCACTGCGATCCACAGCTACCTACCTACCTACCCCAAACCAGCTGAGTTTCCATGGTGCAGGTCAAACAGACAAACAATTCCTTCCATGCGAGGCAACTCCCAGACAGGGCAGATCCAGGATCACACAAGACAGGATGTGCTTTACCTGTTCCCACTTTGTTTTGATTAACTACACCCCGGAGTTACATGGAGAAGCCTGTTCCAAAGCTTGCTGCTGTCCTCAGCCTCAGCACCCCTGACCTCTCACCGCTGAGCCCAAGCAAGAAGGCCAGCCAGAGATCAAGAACCCCCCTTTTCTCCCTCCACAGGCTCTCTCTGCTAATTTTGACATTGTACATCATCTACTGCTGAGATTTAAGACTCTAAATCAGCAGAGAGAGAAAAAGTGTTCTTCAACCTGCCAGCCAGCAACACAACTGAACCGGACCAAGCGTCTCATGCTGCAGACCACCAACACAAGAACACCACTTCTCTCTGCCACCCTCACCGTCCTCCAGCATGGAGAGGTACCGATGAGATCAGAAACAAGCTCCAGCCAGCAACCCTCTGCTGCTGGGGGTCCTGGACAGAACCCGGACAGCGAGAAGTCAAAGGAGGATTTTTTCAGCCCAGACAACAGGACTGGACATCGACTGCTGAGACGCAGACTACAAACTAAAAGGCAAAGCCATCAGCGTCAGACGGCTGGATGTCATGGGGAAAAGTAAAAGCCGAGACTCCTGCCGCAACATGAAGCCACAGGGCCTCCCCATAGGAGACGATTTTCTTATTACCCACACCACAGTAACACAGAATTCAGGCCTTACTGCACTCAGTGCTCTACGTAACGAGGAGTCCCTGCCTCAAGGAGATGATTTGGTGACACTTTCCTGCTTTTAATTCAAAAGGAGGATGCACAGCAACGTGTATCATACACTTCTGCTCTGCAGAGAAGTTTGTAAACCTGGCCAGAGTCACGCTTCCATGGCCCTCCTCCTGGCTTCAGGTGAAATGGCCCACATCCCACGTAACTGCACTTCTCTCCACAGTTAGATGTACAGGTTTTTCAAGGAGAATAAGATACAGAAAATGAACAAATATTTTATTGCAGATAACAGCGAGAAGGCTGGCATCCACGCAGTGCTTATCTCCTGGCCTGGCTCACACCACTCCTGTCCTCCTTCCTCTGCCCATCTCACTGGTTTACATGGGATTAGCCCCATTTTATAGACAAAGCAGGGAAGAACAACATCTCATCCATCGGAGCCGTGTCTCACTCTATGGACCACAGTGAAGGAGGAACAAGTCCACCCTCTTGCCATTGCGTTATGAGATGCAACAGTCGGTGATGAAAACAACAGACACAGCAACAGACGTAAACGTCCCCAAATGAGCCTCTAAAACAGGAGTTAAAAGGTCTTCCATTGGACCCCGTCAGCTCCACCTAATTACCACCTTCTCCAGCTCCAGTCGGGGCTCGTACCTCAGAAACCAACAGGAATAAAGCACTCTGCTAAAGAACAACTGCTGCTTCAACTGGAGGTAGCAAAGGTGATAATTAGATTAAGCCCACTAAGACGCTCTAAGATCAACTCTCCTTGTTTTGATCCAGACAAGGCTCTAGTCATATTTTATACTCCCCCCCCCCCCCAAATCAGTACAGAAAAGCCTGCCCCGCTAAACACCCAAATTCAGATCCATGCCGGAGAAAAAGCCAGCAGATCGTGGGGAAACTGCTTCCCAGGGAGGCCGCAAAAGGAATGCAAGAGCAGCCGATCAACTCCCGAATCAGGGAGATGAAGGGGGGCGGAATGCCAGGGTTTTCATCTCATCTTGGGGAGATGTGACCAAATACAGAGGTGCAATAATTTGGGATTATTTAGAATTCGGGACTTCTGAGGAGAGGTCAGCTGAACAGCTGCCAATGCAACCCACGACACTGCCAAAACCGGGGAACACAACGCGGAAACACGCGTTGAGGAGGAATTATGCTTTGGAGGCATGGGACAGGACTCTGTGGCCGGAAAGCAGGGGTTTAAATTCTGGTCCTCGGCAGGCCATGAGAGTCAAAGCGCGTGCATTCAGACAGCAGGCTTTCAAAAAACAAAATTATTAAGATTTTCTCAGCAGCACTGGGGACAGTCGCAGGTACAGGAGAGCAAATGTGTCCACATGAAAGTTCCCTGCTGCAGGCCACCACTGTTCCACCTGCCCAGGCAGGAGGGAGCCGTATGCTGCCAGCTGGGGCATGGGAGGCAGAGCGCTGCAAAGCAAAAGCAACGCATGCCGAGGCCGAAGGAGCACGGCTGCACCCTCCGCCTGTCTCGGGGGGCGTGCCTGATGCAGACCACCGTGGAGATGAGCCCCGTTTAGGCATGCTCGTGCCCCACGCCTGTGCGGGAGTGGCCATAATCCTCGGGGCCCTTCTCCCCTCCCAGCCCCGCACCCCGACTCCCGCCACCCGGACGCTCGCCCCCAGCTCCCCCCGGCCTAGGGCAACCCCCACCCTCCCAGGACAGCCTTCCCCGAAGGGACGGGCGCAGGGACGCGGGGCTTCAGGAGAGGAGCAGGGACCGGGGCAGGCGGGGCCCAGCAGGATGCGCCAGCTGGGGGCAGAGGAAGCGGCGTTCCTGTCCAGGCGGTAACCGGGGCCGTCAGGCAGGGGCGGCCGTGCGGAACG